AGAGAAGCTGAAACTAATGCACAAATACCTTCTGTTGTATCTGTTCTGTAAAACCTTACGCTTTTCACATAGTTTGTTGTCACTGCCAAGGCAAACCTTTTATTAAACATATTTCYGTGGACCTTATATATTTACTGAGTTTCCAAGTCTGTATTACTTGTTTTCCTCATCGTACCAGATGAATAGTTTCTACTAACAGCACTGTGCATTTTTAGTAACTTGTTGATGAGGTCTGTTTTACTATGTAAATTTTACAGTGACATTTGACAGAAAAGGAAAAATAATTTGTCAGTCATAACCTTTATAACAACATTTGGGTGCTTTAATTCTTGAGTCAGAATTGTGGCGTCTTTCAGGGGTGTTGAGCAYGTCGTTACAAGCTGAACCTTCAGTGCATGGGAAATGAGGCCTCAGGCATCGCAACGAGGGCTGCAGTGGCGGAGCCGTCGGAAATGGTTGGACAACCCAGCTAGGACAGCGCGAGGAGTATCGTGTGATAAAAGGGGAGGTTAAATCAAGAGACCTCTGTCATCCCCGCAGCTTTCTGAGCTTTGACAAGTTTCTTCATGCCAAGAGCAATGTGTTTTTATATTTCGTACTTAYAATTGTCCATATTTCACTGAAAGGTGAGACTTAAATAGAGCATCACACAATCCAACCAGCTGTTTGTTATGGAAAAATATACCCAAGAGAAGTTTACCATAGACAAATACCCAGCTGTGAATATGATACATATGAATATGATATGAACATGACAAATATCCACGCGTGACTTTTATTGAAAGGCTATGCTGGAGGCACAAATCCGTTTAGAGTGATCAAACACCAAGCAGCAAACACACAAGCAAACAGAAACCAAGATCTAAATGAATAGCATCAGGTTAGGCAAAACAGGCAAGTGAAATCCCAAACAGAAGTCCTATCAAAACTCTTTCTAATGACAGTGGAATGRGATTCTCCCTTGGACAATACTATGAAAGACTCATTGGAGTCCAACAATAATCAGGAAGGTTCTATGGATGAAATGTGGACACAACAGCAAAATATAATAAGTTCATGACTCAGGTCCATGATCTTTCTTAGCACAGTGGTTTCCCAGGTCCTTAAACAACGTGTCAGGATGAGAGGGAATTTCTGAAGTGGTATCTGTAAACACAACCGAAAGCCAGTGGCTGCTGACACACGCATAAGCGTGTAGGGAAGGTAACAGTAACGTTCAGTGTTAAAAGCAGAGAAGTAGATGGGGGTGGCTTGAAGAAACCCTTGCTGCTCAACAKGAACAGTCAAGCATAAAAGGAGGCATTTTGCAGCACAGTGTTCCAATTAGAAGCAGAGCTTGGCCAAATCGTGCTGAAGTATTGAAGGGCAGTGATGCACAACTGCAAGAGCAGCTTCTTCAGCTGAGTTGTATAACTCACGTAACTAGGGTCTACAGAACTCTGTGATTTAGGATTAGTTTTCGGAACCATCATTCTGCGTCACCTGCACATTTTCACGCTTCTCCCCCAGAGGAATTCTCCTTTTTTTGTGTACTGGAATTTGAATGTTGGTCTCTGGGAACACGCACACGGTCAGACACGAAGTCCCACCCCTCGTGCTCGTGGGCTCCTGCCACAGGCACAGCTCCACAGAGCAGCTCGGGGCTGCGCGGGAGCCCTCGCGCCGCCTCCTCGCGCCGCGGCGCGCACTGCACTGCACTGCACTGCACTGCGCGGCACTGCAGAGCCGCCGGCCGCGCACCGGGCACCCGCTCCGGGCGCCCTCGCTCTCCCTCGGCACTGCTCTTTGCTGAAGCAACGCTGACGCACCCGAGCTCTTCCCGCCGCTTCCCTTCCCAACGGCCACTGGCGGGAAGGGCAGCGCGCCCGGCGACCAACGCCCCCGCCCGCCGGACCGCCCCGCGCAGGCGCACTCGTCACGGCGCTGGCGCCGCGCAGGCGCACGCGT